TTGATACGTCACTAAGAGAGTTTTTGTAACTGTCTTTCATTGACTCAGCACTTCAAAAAACACTTTGTAAATAGAATAGATGGCAGGTTGTTCAACCTGAATACGAAGAATGAAAATATAATATTAAGGCGACTTTGTCGACCGGAGGTACTTTAGAGCATTTCCAATAAATAATTAAAGGATTTTTATTAAATTTGGTTTATAATAGATTTGGAAGCAGTTTGGTTTCTCTCATATAGAACCAGAAACAACCTCAAAACAAAGACAATTTAATAAACGTGAGTCTAAAATATTTTATGAATAAGATTCATGCATGGCGTATTTTTTTTGTATAACAAATTAAGTTTGATATTTGTAGAATATTGTCTTTACGCTTCTGGTTATCAGTGTTCACCACCATTAATAACAGGCGACCATGTTAACCAACCGTTTGGGTCATTATTACAACTTACGTTCATGCTAAACTGGATTACTGTTAACGATGATATCCTTTCTTTAATTATTTATCAAACAAATATGCATGCTTCAGTAATTAATTCCTTGACAAATTAGGACGTCACACACGTAACATTGTTGCGTCAGAGACTCACAAATAAACGATGGAACATATTATCTCTGGAAATAGCAGCAATTGATCTAGCGTTTCGCAGTTTAATGAAAAACCTGTTGCTTCAACGGTATCCACTAGTGTTTTCTTCCGGATATCGTGATGTGAGTATAGCTTTTAATTTTTTTTATTTGGTTAACTGGTATAAATCCTTATTACATATTTGATTAAACATTTATAGAAGCTGCAATACATAACACAGTGTATTCCTGTTATTTCAAAATCTTTAATGCGTATTATTCGAAACAGTAAAAACGAGCATTTTCGATCAAAAGCGATTGAATTTGCCCAGGTATGATACAATAGTGCAATTTCTTAGAATAAGAAGTATTCTCATAATTCTTTTACTCACCTTGTTTTATCTATCTCTATTTTAGCGAACACGCACTCATACTAATTTATCATTTATGCCAAACGGTCGTACAAAATACGATGCAGATTCAACATCAGAACAAATGAGAAAACTTTTCTCAAATGGATTGTATTCAATTGCAAGAGACATCAAAGTAAATATGTCAACATTTCAAGAGGTGAGAAATAATTTAGAATCTCTTTCGATGGAAACTGGAAACTAAAGTACTTAAAAAGAATTTTTTTTGCTTTATTAGTATTCATCGAGCGAAGAAGAAACATCAAATGCCAAAGACGTGAAAAAATCAAAAATAAAATCTAAATTAAATCGCAATAGATCAAATTCAAATAATGCGTTTGAAGATCTTTTCAGCAATTATGGAGAGGTTAAAGATGTACAAACGACTGACGATAGTGGTGATATTGACTTGTTTGTCAGTGAGATTATTTCGGATGTTGAATCACTATTTGGCACTAGTGACGAAGATAATCAAGATTTTGGTGAGACTGTATTCGAGGAACCCTCTAGCTCTGACGATGATGACTTTTTGCTGGAAGATCTATATTACCTCGATAACAAAGGCAGCTTGAATTTCAGGGATACATTTGACCCATATGAAAATGCTGATTTCTCAAACTCTAAAGTCATTGATGTTAAAGATGCTTGTGTGGTCCCAAGCGATGATGATGCAGAATTACTAAATTTCGATGAATTTGAAGAAGATAAATATTTTTTTGTGAATACAAAAGACTCTCTGGAGTTGTTGCATACTTCTGAATTTTGCGTTACGAACAATAAAATTGCATCAACTTCGCAAATACAGTGTACAAATCTTCATTGGTTTTCGAATGAACAGTATAGTAATTCTGAAGATGCATTTTTTGACATCATGTTTGAAGAATGACATATTATTATGCTTTAATAATGTGAAACTTACATTTTAACTTTTGTTCTCAAACACTGTATATTTAGGCCACGCAAATTTAATTTATTGGTTCTCGTAACATGAAACTTTTTAAATAGACCCGGCCGGCCGGCTTTTTTTTTTAATTTTATATATAGCAATTTATAAAATTTCTTAAAAAATTTTTTTAAAAAACCTACCCAGTTATTAAAACATATAAAAGTTTTTTATAAATTTGACCGTCCGGGTTACGAGAACCAATTAATTAACTTTACATGGCCTTATCACAGTTCAATGTATGACAAGGGTTGTATAGAACAAGTCATCCACGTGTTCCAGCTATCTGATATAATTGATCAGCTTCCTTGAGAGTGATTAGAAACACTAAGACATAAAGCTTGGGATGCGCGGCTTTGATATTGCACCTGGACTTGTGATGTCTGGAATTGAGCCACAGATGATGGGTGAAGACATGAACCGTAGTTATATTTATGTTTAGGGATAAGCGTTGGCATTATATGACTTGTTAAGGAGTGACTTCAGAAATTCTTGAATGAAAGTGGAGAAAGTATATTATGAACAGTGATAAAGAATTACACATGATCACTAAGTTATTATTGACACTGGAAATAAATTAAAGAGATAATATATAAATTCGTAATAACAGATAATGTTATTCAGATAGCTCTATCATAAACCAACCGCTCAATACATGATATAAATAAAGAATATTAACAATTTAAAAAATATATTAATAAATGAATGGAATTATTTTTTTTACTCGAGTAGAATATTCTAAATAATCGACCCCAAAATTTCTCAATAACATAAGTTCCTCACAACGTATACGATACCAATAAGCGATGTTAATTATAATAGAAATTATTATAAAGACGAACCAATTTCCAGAAGACAGGCCAAAGCCATGCCACATTAATAAATGACCCGCATAGCCTGGATGACGTATATATCTATAAGGACCTGTTTATTAAATTCGAGAATTTTTAACAATTTTGAATAATCATAACCATAAATCATAATAATAGTATTTAATAAACCTTCAGTTACGATGAATTGTCCTTCACCGATTCTTAAAGTTCTTGTAAAAAATCGATTAATTCTCATTGCGTAGGCTCTTAAACCAAATCCAAACAAAAGAAGTATAATTCCACTCCATGATAATATTTCGCGATAAGGCGATTCAATTATACCAATTCCAAGGTTATCATTTAAACCAATGACAATTGACAATATAAATATGGGAACGCCAAGCACAACGATGAAAGCGATACAAACAAACAGCGTAGAGCTTTTATCAGTATCATCGTCTAAATCGAACCTCCTAGTGTCCGCGTTGGGACGTAAAAATATATCAAGAGAGAGGTTTAATAGAACAAGAATGTAAGCTATAATAAGTGGAATGTCGTGTGATGTTATAGAACTCATTATTCTGACATAGAGAAAGAGTTCCAAAAGATAATGATAATTCAAATTTTTGGAAGATCGGAAAGATTTACGCAAAATTAACCAATAACGATAATATGCTTGTATTTAAACATCCTCTAGGAGAAGTATGCAATTAGAAAGAAATTTATATGAACTCAAAGGAAGGCGCATTGAGTTGTATTAACTGTCAGGTGACTATATATTAGATTCCAATTACAATTGGGTTATTGTCACGTCGACATGTCTTTTTCTCTTACGTTTATGAATTACAAGTTGTACGTATAATAAATATACATATCGATATCTATATCAGATATAAATAATAATAATAATATATATAAAAATATCTAAAATGAACCGTAATTTATAATCCCAAAATAGTTCTACTTACATTATTTCCTGGTCGTAAGTAACACTTGCCAAACAACCAATATAATCCATGTTAATATAACCACGAAAATTATAGCCTATAACGATAAATCAAAATATGTAACTTATTATGGGGCTTATCGTTATACGTAAAAGCTTTTATAAATATAGTATATTGAATTTTTAATAATTTTATACTTTGCTCATTAAACATCCATCTAAATACCATGGAATAGCTCTCCGTTCAGGTCGATTTACAGATGATGTTACCGTAAGAGTGACATCATCCGAATTAGAAATTTCGCTGTTTCGAGGAATGAGTTGGTACTCCATTTATATATTTTATTTTATTATTATTAAAAAAAAAAAAAAAGTCGAGCGTAGCGTTGTTTTTTATAAGGCTGTAAGGTACACCCGAATTTTTGTGTTACTTTACATATTTGCATGGTTAGTTTTGTGTTACTTTAGCATCGTTATCGATAAAAAATTTTTAATCAATCTCCAATCGTAATTATGTAAATTTTAACACCTTTGTTCTTGAAAAGATCCATATAGTAAGCTTAACCATTTTAGATTTGTTATTTTCGTGAGTACTTCTTCGAATTTAAGCGAAACAATTGTTTTCTTTTTGCAGTGATTTGATATCAAAAGTCGTTACCATTTAAATAGTAAGATGTCCGCCCCTATTCCTGCATGCTATTCAGACATTGGCAAAGCTGCTAGCGATCTATTAAACAAGGACTACCCGGTCGCGGTTTTCAAACTTGAAACTAAAAATACAGCACCCAATGGTGTGGTAAGTTCAATAAAACGGTAAATTACTTCTGATTTATTATAGATTTAATATTTTTTTTACGCTTAATTCTTTTTTTTTTTTTAGTCTTTTACCCTCTCCGGACAGAAAAACACAAAAACTGGTGACATAAATGGTGAATTTAAAAGCAAGTACCATTATCCTAAGAAAGGTATTACACTCACAGAAACCTGGACGACAAACAACCATTTAAACGCCCAAGTAGAGCTCGAAAATAGCCTTGCAAAGGGTTTAAAATTGGACATGACCGCACAGTTCCAGCCTATTACTGGAAATAAGAATATCAAAGGAGGTTTAATTTTCAAACAACCGGGTTTCCATACAAAACTCTATGTCGATGCCCTTAAGGGACCTACTTTTCAGGGAGACGCTGTGATTGGTCATGAAGGATTCCTTATGGGTGGTGAAGCGTGTTATGAGTTTACGGATGGCAAAGTTACTCGCTACGGCGTTTCTGCAGGCTATACAGCTCCTGAATACAATGTTACTCTCAAAGCAACTGATTCCATGTCCGTTTACACCCTTCTATACTATCATCGTGTACATCCTGATATTGAAGCGGGCGCAAAAGCTCATTGGAATACCGCTTCAAACAGTGACAGTGTTAACATGGAAATTGGTGCTAAATATTTTTTAGATCGTGATGCATTTGTAAAAGTACGTGACTGTATTATTTATGATTGGCACCTTCGGGTATAGAAAAATTCATTCTAAATTAATTAAATTTGTAGGCTAAAATTGATAACAATGGTCGTTTGGGTCTTGGATACACGCAAGCTCTCCGTCCAGGAGTTAAGATCTCTCTTGGTGGTAGCATTGATACATCCAAGTTGGGCGAAAATAATCATCGATTTGGAGTATCTCTTAATTTAGAATCCTAATACTTAAATCCTAATACCTGATTCAATTTGATTTATAGATCTGATTTTGGGCGGTAAATTTTGTAGGTTTTGTTTCTCCTTCATATTTACACCAATATTAAATAATGCGACCAAACTATATATACTTAATGAATTAATAAAAGGATCCCACATACACAAATGCAATATCTACCTATCTTAACATTCCAAGCAATAAATATTAAGCCATATTTAAAATGGTAAACTAAACAAACTAAGATCACTAGGCATTATCCGAAGTGTGGCATATGTCCCATTTTGACTTGCTCTACACGATATTTATTAGACTCTGATCGGACGTATACAATAGTCAATAAAATTTATGCTCCGAACTTAACATTTCACTTAGCCTTGATAATATGTATGATCTAATTTAAAAAGCATTTACCTGGACTTGTATTTTTTTATTTCAAAAATTACTTATAATTGAAAGGTTACATTTTGAACATACCAAATAAATTATCTAAATTTATATAGAAGTGTGTATTATATAATTATATTTAATAATAAATTTAAAACTATGAAACTCGTACCTATCCTCAATTCTTTATTTCCTTGTCAAAAAGGATTCTTTTGTAATATTATGCTGATAGCACGTTCGCCCAATTAATTCAACGCCCCCTGCGTTTTCTTTTCCTGTTGTAAGACGAATCTGAACTAACACTTCGTGCAGAATCTGATGATTCGGAAGAACTCGAATTTGATCCACTATCACTATCTGAGCCTGAATTAAGACTTGAATCTGTCGAAGAACTTCTTGAAGAACCGGATGACGATGAACCGGATGATGATGAAGATGACGATGATGACGAAGATCTTAATAATTGGTATAAATGTAAGGACTCGGTATGATTAGATAAGAAATTTTTAATATTAGGTACTAAACGTGCGCACTCATAAATCCTGTCATTTAAAGACGAAACAAATTTGACAAAATTAATGAATGTATCAATAATATATATTGAATCATCTTACCCTGTTTTTCGACGTCTTTTTCTTTTACTTTCTTTAATGTCAACTGGTTTTTCCAATTTTTCTGGCACCTCCTTTCTGTTCAAACGACGTGTGTGTTAAAAATATATGCCGCCGGCTATTTAGCAAAAAGGTGACTTACTTTATTCCCAATTCGTCTGGAAGTTCAACAGATATTGGTTTTAGTGGTTTTGTAAGCTGCTGAGTTCTGGTCGGACGAGATTTGTACACTCGTTCATTCTTGCATTCATAGGTCTATATAGTATAAAATGGTGAAACCTTTAAACATTGCGGAAAAAATTAATATGCATATTACTTTGCTTTTACCCAATGACCATATTCGAGGCATTTTTGACATTGAGTTTTGGGCGAAGCTTTAGTGCCTGAGGTCGGATACCTAAATACAAGATCATATTATTATCATTCGCTTTAAACAGAATTCTCATTTTGACTTCAATGACAAGCTCACCTGCGTCCAAGAAAGCTTGCTTTGTTCATTAGAATAAGCTATTATTATCTTTTTTGTCACTACAATCAATTAGAAGCACGCAACAATAAGTTTCTAGTCAAGTTTTCAGTTTATTTTGATTGGTTGTTAAAATACCCGGAAAAAATGTTGATCGTACCCCGGATAAAGTATCGGCCATACCCGGACGAGAATTTATTACCGTTACTCAAAAAATTTGTCTAAAGACGCGTATTATATAGCATGACAGACAATCTAAATTTGGAAATGATTATCGGTGGCTTAGCGTAACTTAAAAAAAAAATTTATATAGCTTTAGACTACGATTATTTCCCGTGATTACTCAGAACCTGTCAATTAAACCGGTTTAAAAAAAGAAAGAGACTAAAAGATTATAGAGCGACCTATTCACTGTTAAAATTAATCAAAAATAATCTTAGTATTTCGTCTTCTAGTTGAGAGATCAGTTTCTTAGAAA